GGGAGGACGGCAGGAGAGAACGCCGGTGACAAAGCGACGGAGTTGGTCATCTGAGACCGAGAAGAGATGATTGCGGTGGAGACGAGAGACGACAGAGATGAGTGATGCTGGAGACGGGCAACAGAGAGGAGCGATGGAGAGGAGCACGCCGGAGACGATGATGGATGATGGCCTAGATGAATCATGCCGGAGACGAGACGACGAGACATCGTCGTTCACGATTTCAACTTTTATAAAAAAATATAATTAAAACATAAAGGGGCATAAGGGTAAATCATTTCTTTAATGAAACCTATTTTTGTGACTTTGAATCTTGGGTACTAGTTTGGTGACAAAAACTTGGGTTGGTGCTATTTTTGGCATTTATTCAAATCAAAATCTAGTAATTAAGGTCATAATTAACTTCAAATCTTTTAAAATTACTCTTTTAACGTAAGCGTTTCTTACACTCGATTAGTTATATATACGCGCTCCCCTTCCCCTTCCTCAAATTCCACTGCCACAGTAATGAATCTTTCAACCGTTACAAGTTCCTCTGCCTCAAACGCCGAAGAATCACCGCAGAAAAACAAGAAGAATGAACTTCATGATCATGCGCCATTTCCTCTGTTACTACTTCCCGAAGAAATCTCATTAAACTGCTTAGCACGCGTGCCACGACGTTACCACCCTTCGGTCTCACTCGTCTCCACAACCTTGAGACGTCTCATCGCTTCCCCAGAGATCTACACCGAACGTTCTTTATTCCGCCGCACAGAACATGTCCTTTACGTCGCGCTTAGACCTTACGCTACCCAAACCCTCGAATGGTACACTCTCAACCCCAAACCGTTCCGACAAGAGTCTACTCTGGTTCCTGTTCCGACAACATTCCCTTTGGTTCCTTTATGGGGAATGTCTATGGTCACTGTCGGTTCAGAGATTTACGTCATCGGTGGATGCGTCGACGACAGCTACGTCTCCTCTGCGTTTGTCATCGACTGTCCTTCTTACACGTGTCGTTCCCTCCCTAACATGAAGCAAGAACGCGGCTGCGCCGCCGCGGGGATCGTGGAAGGAAAGTTGTACGTGATCGGAGGGTGTAGCCGTCTGTCTTTGAACTGGGTGGAGGCTTTTGATCTAAAGACTCAAACTTGGGAGACAGTGACGTGGACTGGTTTGTATGATGACGTGGAGGTGTATGAGAAAACGATCAGGAGTTTCGTGATGGATGAGAAGGTTTACTTGATGGATCGAAGTAATAGCTTTGTTTACGATCCTAAAGAAGGGAGTTTGGAGAGTGACTTGTTGTTGAACAAGCAGTGGAGTGTGAAGTCTTGCGTTGTTGATGACAAGTTGTATAGTTTTGGGGCTTTTGGTCAGGAGAATACGATATGGGAGTTTGATCCTGTCGTGAGGGTTTGGAGTCTAGTGAAGGGTCTTGAAGATGTTCTTCCTGATAAGTGTAAAGTTTCTAAAATGGTGAATTACGGTGGTAAAATTGCGGTTTTGTGTAACCTTGGAAAGTTGAAGACGGAGATTTGGTATATGGAGATTGGGTTGGAAAGGAGGGGAGGAGGAGAGGTTTGGGGGAAGATGTTGTGGTCTGGTCTTGTGCTTGATTCGGAAGATTACTCTACCATTGTACGATCGCTTGCTGTAGCGTTCTAGGTATGTTCATGGCTCCAGTAACCTTCGCTTTTGTGATAATGATGCGTGTTACATGGAATGTTATTGACTACTCATTGTATGTTACAGCTTGCAGGGCGCAAGATTGAATATGTATTGGAGCAGCTTCTTGGTCTGACCAAGACCAAGCAATAGAATACTACTGGATGTTTTTACTTTTCTTGCATTTGTTTCTTTGTTCTACAGATTATGTTTTGCAGTAATGGTTAATTAGACTATTTGGTTCGTAATGGATTTATACTTTTAGGAGCTAAGAGGAAACAAACACGAACTTTAAGGTATTATAAATTGTCAAATAGACCTTGATTAAGTGATTTACAAAAGACAGATATGATGTTAAACAAGAAAAAAGGACATGTCGTGTCCTTAATAGGACCAAACTCTTTATTCCGACACTGTGGTTTGAAGAGGCAACTGACTCTCGACTCCCTTGGCTTCCTCGCCCTGCTGCTTCTCAGCCACAGCCTTGGATAATCCAAACATCTGTAAATCAATCCACACACACAGGCTTCAAGTTAAGCGAGATATGTTCACCGAAACCAGAAATCAATAGTCACATAGATAATCATGTGTTTCACGAATTGTGCAAAGGGTTTGGACCGGAAAACCACAACTGTCGAAATTGAATATGACAGTCTTTTGTGGTTTCGTGTCTGATTTCAACTTAAACACACACAACAGTATTGCAAAAACGCTTAACCACTTGGTTTTAAATCAGAGAACACCATGGAGACTGTCTAGTGAGGAACAAAAACATAAAGTAATAAGAGAGATGAGAAAGAGGAACCTTGCTGATGGTCTTCTGGAAACAGGTCTTGTGCTCATCCATGGAGGCATGAATGAACTCATCGATGTGATCTTTGACGTCCTCAAAGAAAGTGGCATCTTCCTTTACCTTCCTCCTACATGAAGCCATCGCTGGTTTCGGAGGAGGGTTTTGTGTTTGCTCTTTTGGTTGTGTCTCCATTTATGCCTCTCTGCAAAGTTTATATTGAACAAGATCAAACAAGGGCCCATCCCAAATAAAGACATAAGTAACAAAACCGAAACTTGATCTTTGGGTACTGCTCAAGCACATCCAAAACAACCAATTCTACAACGATTACTACCGTAAGTAGAGCACCCACCAAGTATTCGATCAAATGCCAAAAATAGAAACGAACAATAACAAATCAAGGTTAACAAAGTTGCAGAGATTATTTGAAAAACAGCAAAGAGCTAAAAAAATTACCTTTCTTTCTCCTGCTTGTTGCTTCTAGAGTTCTCTGCTACCTAAGATAATAATATATAGTCGGTTCGAGGCCTTGGAGAACAAGGGGGTAATAAACGCTGCGTTTTGTACTGAATTGGGCTGACGATAAAGTAATCAGGCCTTCACAAGGGCCCAATAAAACAATATTTGTGTATTTTTTGACAAACACACAACGATGTTATCGAACATCTAACTGATTCAGAGGGTCATAGAAGGAGTCAAGTCCAGCTTGAAGCCGAATTCATTCGTAGAATTATTCGCAAAAAAGCAAAGCGACAAGACAAATAATACATACAACGAACAGTTTTTCTCCGAGCTAAAGAAAAAAAACGAATCTTAGTACCATCCTGTTTTTTTTTTCTTCTGGTTACACAATCTAAGTCTTTCCTTATAGCTGCATAGATCTGTCTGTCAATTGGATAAAAAAAAAAGAGTCCCAAACGAATTTCTAACAACAATTTTCTTTTCCTTTGTTAAAGACAAAAGTGGTCACAGTCAGATCACTCCGCACGTGAGCCGCTGCTACTCCGTCCACCATATTTCTACCATCACACAAACCAAAAGAGAAGTCGTCAATTAATATAACAAATACGAATTAGCCTTTAACTAATCTAACAAAGAAGTAACAATTAATCCACTATCACTCAATGCACAGATGTTTATTTACCTGTTTGCCGAAGCTGAAAGGGATGTACTTATACTTAATCATATGGGAGATCTGGCGTCTCATGGTGAGAACAAAGAGAACAATCCAATAGCAAAGCAGAATCGGCCAGAACACAGGAACGTCAAACATCGAGAAGAACGTCATCACAAACGCAATCCCGAACGCCTTTGTCATCGAATACCTGAGCATAGAGAGACATTGTAAGACCAAAAACAAACACATTCCCATATACAGAACCTCTATAAATTAATACTCGATGAATTAATATACATTATATATCTTTATAAAATAATATAATTTTATAGTTCTAAATTGATTTGGTTCAACAATATAAGACCAAAAACAAATACATTTCCATATACAGTAAAACCTCTATAAATTAATACTCGATAAACTAATATACACTAAATATTTCTATAAAATAATATAATATTATAGTTCTAAATTGATTTGGTTCAACTAATATATCGATAAACTAATATAAGACCAAAAACAAATACATTCTCATATACAGTAGAACCTATATAAATTAATATTCGATAAATTAATATACACTAAATATCTCTATAAAATAATATAATTTTATAATTCTAAATTGATTTGGTTCAATTAATATATCAATAAATTAATATCTCTATAAATTAATAAAAAAATAAAATTTTGGTGCAGTCCCAACATTATTAATTTAGATTTCACTATCTATATAGATTTATGACCATTAATGATTTGATTACCAGAATTTGAACTCAGGGAGACGGCGGATAAAAGGCTTAAACTCATCAGAGCCTCTAGTAGGAAGAGAAGGTCCATCAGATCCTCCTCCACCAGAAGCCTCAGGATCAACAAGAGGTGACAAAAACCCAATGAGAAGATTCAAAAGGTAGATTCCGAGTCCGTAAGCGATGATGTAGAAGCCTTGGAGATAGTAAACCCTCAAACAGAAGGCAAGGGCGATGACAGAAGTCCCAATCCACCTGTAAGTTGCGTGAGGGGTAGTTTTGTCAAGGTAGTGTTGGTAAATCCTCCAGGCTTCATGTGCTTTCTGTTGAACAGGTGTTGCCACGTCACCTCCTCCTCCGCTTACGTCCATCTGATGATTTTTAAACAAACTGTAACGAACAGTTAAATCGTTTAAAATGGTATTGACTATTATATTGTAGCTTAATCGAATCAAAATAAATTGAAGAAGAATTAACAATAAAGAAGGGTTAGTTTTACAGATCTAGGAAGGAGAATCAGATGATGATAAAGCCTCTATGAATCGATTGAGATCAGTAAGATGGAAAGGACTTACGGAAGATGAAAGCTGCTTCTCTATCCACAAAGGCCGAGCAGATCTGACCAAAATGAAGCTGAAAACGATTTGATCTTTGCGTTTTATTATTCTTTTAAAGTTTTTTTTCCTTGTTGTTGGGTTATCAATATATATATTTACGGGAGGATGCCCCGATTAAAGTTATTTCATTTGATTTGACCCCAACTTTTTCTATAGTTCATTTTAATCCATTGAATATTTAGCGTGATTAATTTAACTTCGATTTTTAACCCCCAGTATTTGTTTAATCCTTTAGTTACTTTCCGCTAATATACTCCTTCTGTTTCAAAATATTTGCATTCTATATTTAATTTTTTATCACAAATTAAGTGTACTTTTAGAGTTTCGAAACAAAATTTATTAATTTCATATAATATTTTATTTTTTTATTGGTTGAAAAGTGGTTAGGTGTATACATAATTATGTTTTTATTTTGAAAATATGTAAAATTAAATGTTTTTTTAATCTTTGTGCAAAAAACTAGAATGACAACTAAAGTGAATAAGGATTCTGAAACTTTTCTTTAGTGAAATTAGTCCTTGATCTTTTTCTTTCTTATCATTTTCATCTTCAACCATGAAAGGTTTTTATAATGAAACTAGTTTTTTATAACCAAAAAAAAGTAAACAAATGAGCATTTACTTAACATAATTTTTTATTTATTTATTTAAAATTCACTAAACGAAAGATAAATCTGTTTATTTAATTTTCTCTATATATAAAAAGAGCATTTCAAAAGGAGATGGACTCATCACTCTTATTGGTAAAGCTTAAACTGTCTTTTGCTTCTAAGTTGTATGACTCTCTCAAACTTTCAAGTAATTTACATTAGCAATATCACAACTGTCTCTGTTTCCACTTCCCCAAAAAACACTTCACAAACGTCCAGCTAAATCGTTGGTCCAGAGTGTTCAATCAGATCATATGACAGTCCCGTCTTTAATGGTAGCCTTTTCAACAACCACAGTGATCCCAGACCTTATGTAGAATCCTTCCTCTGGTCTATCAGCTTCTTGCACATCCTGAAATCAAAACACACAAAAAAAAACATGTCAACCTAAAGAATGTTCAAATCTATAACAAGTCTTTGATCCTTACTCATCCTAAAGAAGAATCAAAATAGAGAAGAAAAAGCATATACCTCTTTGTTCAAGATTATCACGTTCTTCCCTATCTTTGCATTCTTGTCAATGATACATTTCCTTCAGTGTAATAAAAGAATATAAACATAAGAATTTTAGGAACTAAACTCTGAGAAGAAGAAGACTTCGGTTTTGTTACCTGATCTTTGTATCTCTGCCAATCCCAATAGGAACATTGCCTTCAGCGAGCAGAGAAGCTATCTCAGATTCTGTTTGGTAACTATCCGCTCCCAACATTAAAGTATCCTGCGGTGACAAAAAAAACACCAGAGTCAGTTTTTGAAGGTGTCCTTAGAGCTGAGTGAGTCCTTTTTTTTTTGCACAGACCTGAAGCTCAACACCATAGTCAAGACGTGACCTTTCACCAATTATGGAACGTTGGATGCTACACTCTCCCAAGAAACATCCGTGTGATATTATCGAATCTACAATCTGCAAAAAAAAGGATCAAAACCCCCATTAGTGATTCAAGAGACTCATTAACCACAGTCAAAAGAAGAGGGAGGGGAGTGTTTACGCGGCATTTCTCGGTTTTGGTGGGTGGTAGAAACCTAGGAGAAGTGTAGAAAGGTGTGTTCTGATCATAAAACTCAAACTTGGGATGCTGCAACAAGGAAAGAACCAAAATTTAAGAGACATAAGTTCAAAGGTTAGAGACAATTTTGAGTATTGAATATCAAACTAACCTCCTCAACAAGAGCAAGATTAGCTTCATAGAAGCTCTTTATAGTTCCAATATCTTCCCAATAGTCTCTGTAAATGTATCCCTAGAAAAAGACAGTTTGTTTGAATCATTTTCCGACAAAACTCACGAAAATGTTTTAACAGAACAGAGATTTTCTTTTCTTTTTTCTTACTTGAACATTGTGATCTCTTATAGCTGCAGGAATAATCTCAGAACCAAAGTCATTGGAAGTGGGATAGCGCCGTGTCAGAAGCTTCAGCAAAGCTTCGGTTTTGAAACAATAAACTCCCATTGATGCAATGTATGGAGATTTTACTGCTTCTTGTTGAGACAGTCCAAGCATAGTCGTATCACTTCGCTGCATCCAACAGTACAACCGTGTCAAACAACAGAACACAATACTCGTCTTATATTTTTTGGAGATAGAACCTTACCATTGATTTCAGATCGATGCCAGTTGGTTTCTCAGAGAAATGGACTACACGTCCACTTCTATCAATGTTCACTAGTCCATAATCCGATGCACGACTGAACCAAAACAAACCAATGTTAGAAACTCAAAATACACAAAAAGGAACATCATCATAGTGCTTACAGAGACTAACCTCTCACCCACTGGCGCGCATGAAAGAGTTATATCCGCGTTGCTATCCACATGGTACTGTTTAAATGCACAGTGTTAATGAGTTACTCAGTAAAAAAATAGTTTAAGACTCTTAAGAGGAACTTTGTTTATTACCTGAACAAAGTCCATATAATTCATTCGGTAGAGATGATCTCCAGACAAGATAATAATATTCTCAATGTTCCTGTTCTTAGCATCCTATATAGTATTAACAAAAACCAACTGATTCAGAACATTTCAAAGAATCATATTTCAAATGATCAAAATGTTCTTTCATTACCTCAAAAACCCACAGAAACTTTCTGACAGCATCTGCTGTTCCTTGAAACCACTTCTTCCCCGCTTCACCAGGAGTTTGTGTAGCAGCTAGAACCTCAACGAAACCATCTCCAAAGTTAATACCATTCCCAAAATAAGTACGAGCCAAGTGGCGATTAAGGGAAGCAGAGTTAAACTGAGTCAGCACAAAGATCTTGTTGATGCAACTGTTAATGCAATTACTCATAGGGATGTCGATCATCCTATAGCATCCACCCACAGGAACCTGCAAATATATTGTTTTGTTTTTTAAGGATCAGTAAAAAGAAACCAAAGACTTTTCCTTTTGATGATAAGTAAAAAAAAAATGATATTAATTTACTCACAGCTGGTGTTGCAGCTCTCTTTGTGAGAGGGAATAGCTTAGCTCCATTGCCTCCTCCCAGAATGATTGCAGCCACATTTTTTGGATCTGCTTTTCTTCTCTCCAACAATGAAGGCTGTAGTCTCTGCAAACAAAACCATAAAAGAAAACAATCAATCAATCTGTAAGACAAGAGTTTTTTTGATGAATCTGTTTCATTGTAACCGACCAGAGCCTCTTTAGTATTCTTTGATGTAGCAACCGCATAAGCAACGCCTGGCCTCGACAATCTGAACACCTTTGGACTTGAAATTGAAGCAAAAGGTTTAGAGAAGCTTCCTTTGATCTTCTCACCCCAAAACTTGTTCTCTACATTCTTGTAACCGTCTTTGGACAAGACAGTGTTTGTGCCCAAGCCCAAGTAGCAACAAGAATCCATCTTCTTTTTAATGCTGGAATGAAACAGAACAGAACAGAACAGAACAGTAGAGCTTGTTAGTAAAACAAGTAAAGTGAGACTACACAGAAATACTGTAACCAAGTACCAAGAGAGAGTGTGTATTTTCTTCAACATAGAATAATCTTTGTACAGGTAACAAATCATTTTAAACATGGAAACAACAACAGTTGCCTAAAAAAGAGATTATTACTTTAAAACATGAACCGTTGAATCCGGGTATGTTTTTAGATTATTGGATCACAGAAAACGGAACAAGTTCAAGACCAAAAATTTCCATGTAACATTTGATTAAAAGCCGAGACAAAAGTAAAAAGTATCATGAGAGAATTGTTAAACCTTCAGAAGATGAAACCTTTACAGTAAAACATCGAAAAACACGAAATCTGAAGAAGTATAAATTTTAAAAGGAAACAATAATGAACACAAAAACAGAGACATAATGCAATCATGAACACAACACAAGAACAGATGAGAGAACTGAACTCACCGGAATGTAAAGAACAACTTATTCGTATTCTCTGTTTTTTTATTAATGTGATGTATCGTTCATGGAACCACCAAAGGAAAGAAGTAGCCGAAGTGATCAGTGAGGACCTGCTTTGAAAGCTTGATCTGATATTTATTCTGTAATCTTTTTTTTTTTATTCTCTCTTCTTTTCACTTCCAACAAGTAGAAATTACTGTTTTAATTCATCTTCTGGTTATAATTTCTATTTAATTTGTTATAAGTTTATTGTATTCTTATTCCCCCATTAAAAAAAATGTTAATATTCTTAAATTTATCTTTTTAAAACTTAAATATCTACCCTTCTTGATAGTATCTAAAATATCTAATTTAAATTAATTATAATTAGAAAAATCAGAAGGCACCACGTTCTTTTCATCTATACTATTATAAGTTAGTGCAAGTGAATCATCTTTATTTGAATTTGAAATAGTAAAATAAGACTGATCAACTTTCACAAAGATCATGTGAAATGTTACCAAACAAAGACATAGGTGTCTGTGTCCTGACAGTGAAAGTCACTGAACCAAAATGAACGACTCTCCTTTCTCCCATACTTTTTGCTTCGGGGAAGCATATGGGACATGTGGCGCTCAGCCACAGTTCTGTCTACTTGTATGTGGACCCAGGCCCATTCTAATCCCATTGGCCCAGCCTAGAGGTGCGCTATATAGTCCGCACACGTCATGACATTCCAAAAATGCATTAGAATCTCTATGACATTACTCATTTGATTAATTTGACTAAAGTATTAATCCAATGGCAAAGTTTAAGAGAGTTTTTGCAATAAATGTCTACGGAGAAAGTTTCATTTGTTGAAGGCGATGTTTTGCAATTTGTAATTTGTAACCATTATATGAATTAGACTTTGATTAGATTTATCGAGGACCCTCTTTGATTAACGGGGGAGAAGGCGAGATAGAAGGGCCCATCACGGAAGCATAATGCCTATATGTCGGGTAATTATTGAAATAAATCTACACTGAAGCGTAAGTTCAATTAGCTAAATATAAACACTAGAATTCTTTGGTTAGAAGACAAATGTATGTAAGTTGCACAATTTTAAAAAAGGAGAAATGTATACAAGCATTAAGTGGCCGTGAAACTTATCACGTGGGTTGCAGACACTTTCATTTCTTATGGTCGTACTATATGAACCATCATTTCCATATTTTTATTATGAACCATTTATTGTCGAACTTAATTAGCGTATTTGGTTTAGCCGTTCGTTGTCAAAAAAAAAAAATTAGCGTATTTAGTCACTAGTTAAGCTATTCATATTATGAAAATTATCAGAACTAAGTGCAGTTCATAACGATGACGAGTAATGTTTTATAAATTGATTGACGCACCACCAAACCGGAGCATTGCTAATAAAAATTTACTAGCATTCGGACGACAAGGGTTGACTCAAATTTAGAAGTCTCAATGCATTTATCAAATAGCCATAAGATTCTAACAAATTCATGAAGAACCAAACAAAGGAGGTAAGAAAAAAAACAAAATCAAGAACAAAACATATTAAGTGTTGGTGGCACGAGTGTAGATCTGCTGGCTCGAGTGAGCAGCGACCATCCTGATCACACCTTTCGCCATTAGCTCCCTAATCGCCCTCCTTGCTAGAGAACCGTTAATCTACATTTTTCAACATTAATCAATACCGATCACAGTGTTATAAGTCATAGACAAGATCATCTTAAATTATCAACTTAGTATAGCGCATTGTTACAACATTTTAAAATATGTGAAGCAAACCAATATCATGAACAACAACATACTACTACTAACTTGATTTCTGAGACATGAACTAGTAGTAAATTAAATTAAGACAAAAAAGTATGTAATAAACATACCCTCATACGGTCGGAGAGAATGGAAGGAGTGATGAGCTTGAACTTGGGAGCTTCAGTGAGAAGCTTGTCGTAAGTAGCCTGATCAAACAACACCATGTTGTTCACCTTCTCCTTTTGCTTTCCCTTGCTCCACTTCTGTTATTTTTTCACCACATTCAACAAAATAAAAATGAATAATCCAACAACAATGATATACCAATGGCAATAGCAAAACAAAGTCCACGTCATGTGACCATCTCAACTTAAACATAACAGTTCACTGAAACCTAGCTAACATGCATTTCTCTATAAGAAAACGAACCTTCTTCTTTTGCTTTCCACCTCCGGATTTGGCCGGCTTAGATGACGGTGGCGGAACCTTATCCTTCTTTGGCGCCTGCAACAAGAAACACAAAAATAACGATTCATGAGAGACAGAAGAAGCATAGATCTGCTTGGAGAGAGAGTGAAGAAACGTAGACATACCATGGTTACTTCGACGGAGATGAAGGAGCTAAAGGTGCTGAAAGATGAAGAGGAGGCTGGGTTAGAGACAAAACTAGGGTTTGGTCTTATAATCTCTAGGGTTTCTGTGGTTTCATCTTAATGTGTATGCAGGCCGTTATAATCATAGGCCCATGTAATATTGCTAGTTCAAGTGAAGCCCATATAATCTTTAGTGATCAGTTAGTTGTCTTTGATGTACTTTTGATAAAAGAGAACCAACCAATCTGTTTCAGGTTAGAAGAAGTAGGTAAATACATTAGTCAGCCAAATGCACAAAATAAACTTGTCGTCTATAATGCAAAGTACGAGTGAATATGCTTAGAATTCACAGAATACATATATGTTATACTAGTATATATCTAAACGTGCCATTTTACTTGACCAAAAAAATCTTAAATTTAAACTCACTGTTGGTAATAGGACAAATTACGAACGTTCCGATCAAAATCTGAAGACACATTTCAAATGTGGATGCTATGAAATAACGAAGACACACCAATAATGAATTCTCCTTTAAACCTTTTTGACAAAGGAACTGAAGCTTTTGTCAAAGTGTATCCAATAATGAAAATTTTAAATTGAAATCATGAGTATATGCTTTTGGTTAGAAAGAGACAAGACATTAAAGAAACAACAAAGGGTTTTTGACCTACAAGCCACTTCTCCATCTCTTAATGAAGAAGTAATTGAGATTTATAGTTTTATTTATTTTTCTCAATTTTCTTACACAATGAGACAATGTATATGCACTTATTTATAGACAAATATTAATTGCTAAGATTTTTAGAAGATAAAAGTTAACTCACCGAGACACAAATAATATAAGACTAGGTGTTTTGCCCGCACTTGCGGGCTTAATAATTTCCTAATATCTATATTCAAATATAATCAGTTTAAGTAAATTATAATAAATTATTGTTCATACACTCAAAATATTTAATAATAATCTAAACAATTTTTTTCTATATATAAAATTTTTCATCATCATATAAATAATTGTCATACACAAATTAAATGTGAAAATATTCATAAATTTAAAATATTTAGTAATAAATTAATATCATTTTTAGACATAACAAAAAAATATAATAAAATTATCTTTAGTAATGTAAACTATCTATACATAAATTCTTTGGGAATTATTTTTTCATAACTAAATATATATTAACAAATATAATTATTTTCAAGGTTAATACAGACTTATAACAGAATTATAAAAAATTAGATAATGATAATTATCAAATTCATGAAATTCGTTTTTAATTATAATTAATTATATATTAACAAATATAATTATTTTAAATATAATTATTTTTAATGTTGATAAAGACATAATATAAAAAAAATTAAATAAGGATGATTATCAAATAAATGAAATTCGTTTTTAATTTATAATTAATGATACATTACTAAAAATATAATTATATTTCAAGGTTAATAAAGATTTTATAACCCAATATAAAATAGTTTTAGATAAAGATAAATCTAAAATCATTGAAATTCGTTTTTTACTTATGTTTAATTATATAATGAATTTTTAATTATTATATAGCAATAAATCTTTTTTTGGTCAAATGGTAATAACTATTAGTCATTATATAGTAATAAATCTAGTTAGTCATTAAGTTTATGTTTGCTTTGTCATTAAAGGTAGTAAAAAACATAAGAACATGACAATTAGATTTACTATCCTTAATGGCGAATCAAACATAAACTTAATGACTAATTAGATTTATTATTATATAATTAATAATTCAATTTATTATAATCATTAGTCTAGATAATGATAATCATCAAATCATAAGAAACATGACAAATAAGATTTGTTTCTAATTATTATATATTAATAGATCTAATTAGTTATTATATAGTAATAAATCCAATTAGTCATTAAGTTTATGTTTGCTTGTCATTAAGGGTAGTAAATCTAATTAATATACGGTTCATAATTATATAAGAATAATTTTATTTAGTCATTAATTAAGGATAATAATTAATCATTATTCAAAATCATAAAAACATGATAAAAGAATTATAATTACATAAAATCATGGAGCATATGATAAATCAGCAAATTCACCTTTTTAAATATAATTAATTTATTTTTATTTATATATTAATTCAGTTTTAGTTTATGGTTTATTAATATCAACTATTTTTAGATAATAATAGTCATCAAATCAGTGAAATTTGTTTCTAATTTATGATTGATTATATGTTAATTAAATATATTTTATGATAACAACACAATATATATAGGAATTATCTCTTTATTTTATTTTATTTTTAAATATATATTTAAATTATGGATAATTCTTATCATTATTATTAATTTAAATCATTTATCTAATCAAATAAATATAAACTTGTTTTTTTATTTTTGGCTGATTTATATATTTTATCCATTAAGGGTATAAACGATATTAATCACTACAACTTTTAACATGGAAGCTCCGTTGCGAAAAATCACTTTGCAAATTTAAGTGAATTATCTGATTTGTAATTTCTCCATAATTTAGATAATTTTGATTATTTGTCATATTTTTAATAATTTCATATAAAATTTATTATAAAATAAAAACGAATTTATATTAATAATTTTATATTTTCTAAAATAAGATAATTCTTATTTATTATGTTGTTATGTTGAAAATATATTTCCTATTATAAAACTTGATATTAAGATATAAAAATTATACAATTAATAATTAAATATAAATCATCAAAGCAATTATTTGAAAAGTGAATTTGTTGATTTGTCTTTATGTTCCTAGATAATTTTGATCATTTATCAGAATTACTCTAATTTTTTTATTATTGATTATATAATTAAAACTAATTTATATTAACAATATGATATTTTAGAAAATAAGTTAATTCTTATTTGTTATACTGTTATCTCGAAAATAAATTTTTCTATTATAAAATTTAAAATTAACATGTAAAACAAATCTATACAATTATTTAAAAAATAAATTTAATGCTTGTTGATTTGTCCTATTTTCCATTATTTTAGGGAATTTTTGATATTTTATCCTAATTTCTCTAATTTTATATATAATTTATTATATTTTTAAAACAAATTTATATTAATAGCATCATATTCTTATAAAATAAGATATTTCTTATGTATTAAGTTGTTCTCTTGAAAATATATTTTTCTATTAGAAATTTAAAATTAAGATATAAAAAGTTGTAGTTATTTTATAATTGAAATAAATTTACATTAATAATACATAATAATTAACTTATTTTCTAAAATATCATATTATTAATACAAATTAGTTTTAATTATATAATCAATAATAAAAAAATTATATAAATTCTGATAAATGATCAAAATTACCTAGGATCATGGAGACAAATCTCAAATTCACTTTGAAATAATTGTTTTGATTATTTATATTTAATTATTAATAATATAATTTTTATATCTTAATTTTAAGTTTTATAATAGGAAAATATATTTTCAACATAACATCATAATACATAATAATTATCTTATTTTAGAAAATATT